TATATATATATATATATATATATATATATATATATATATATGGATTATACTACTATCAGGCAAATTGACATCCAAAATAACAAATATTGTAAATAAGCTAAAAATATATTAGTATAAAAAAAACTAAGCAAAAGTTTTGGTTTTTTAATTCAAATTCAACTTTTTATGGTTTTCAAGCATTTTGTAGTCTATGATAGTATTGGTTACTACTATATAGACAATCCCTTTGTTGATCAGCCAATGAAGACACGAGTTCAAGTCCAGCAACAATAAATACATATACGAAATTAAAGTATATAGAAGACTAAATAAATAAGTTTGCTTTCCGTTGGGTAATAGAGGTACTAGAGTTAGAGAGTTCAAAGAAGAATCGTTATATATGTCATCATGCTGCCATGCATCGGACCCACTTGGAGTTCCCTTATGCAGTAATAAATTTAGATATACATTAATAAATATGCATACATTTTATTGAAAGATTCTCTATGAAACTAAAGAGCTCTATAACATCTGCTCATGCAGAATATCTCTATATATAATCTATTTTATATATAATATAATTTATCAATATTCGCATACAATAATATATATTTGTTTTCACTTGCTTATATATCTACTCACATATCTTATACTCTTACATATCCTTTTTCACATATTTATTCCCACATATCTTCTCATAAATCAAATACCTAATAGATCTCTCAGAACATATTATATACATATATGCTCTCATTTATCATATAATATAACTTCTCACTATATTATAGATTTTCAAATATAATATCTCATTTTTCATGTCTTTCACAAATCCCATTTGCAATTTATATAGCCTCTTATGGGCTATACAAATATACTTTATTTTCTCTTATATCTTGCATCAAGTTCAGCAAAAATCTTGACTATCGAAAGAAATGAAACGAATTACTTGCATAAGTTTAGTTTTCTTTAATTTTTTAATTAAAATCCTGAATAATTTGCATAACTTAATTAATTATTGGCCTAGATTCAAATTTCGTTCCTAAAATAGCAAAACTAATTTGAAGCAGAAGAAATTCAACTTCGTATTTTGAACATACATATGTGAGATCTGACAACAAAGCGTTACTGAGAGAGATACCTCTCTTTCTCTTTCTCTCCGTCCACCCCTTTTTCTCTATCTCTCTCTCTCTCTCTCTCTCTCATCTATCTAAACATACTACTTACTAACTACCTGACTAGAGTTAAGATCAAACAGATCTCTGCATAAGTTGAACCAAAGCCTGGGCTAATTATTCACGAACCATTTTTGTTTCTTTGAATTTCTATGGGGTTTACAGCAACGCTAAATACATTTATTTATATTGGTTTATATTGTATATTGCAGTTTTTACTTGGCTTTATTTTTAGTAAATTCATCTATTAACGCTAATTTACGTAATTTGTCGGATTTGTAATTTGTACAGCTTAAAATAGGCGCAGTCAGCCGTAAGGGAACATTGAGCCTTGCTGACAGACAGAAGAACATTCAAGTTGATATATTAGATAAGTACGTACTACGTGGATATACAGATATACCCATGCATATAGATGTAGTACATACATATATATATGTATGTATGTATATAGTAAATCTTTGGAAAGGAAACAGTTTAGCTAAAAGCTAAAACAAAATTCGTAATGCACACGGAATAAGTTTGAAAATTTTGTTCTCTTCTCTTCTCTCTCTCTCTCTCTCTCTTCTCTCTCTCTCTCTCTCTCGTGTTTTGTTTTCGTGAGTGTATCACAGGAGGAACTCGTAGCAACCGCTAGATAATGGCCTCTTTAGTATTGCTCGGCCATGAGCAGGACGACGAGCGCGCTCCAGCCGGTGAACGGCTTGCAGCCCTTGCCCTCGCCTGTGCCATCGTCGTACTGCTCCCAGATGTAGCCGCTGCGCTGGTACTGCCGGAATATGTTCTTCACCAGATTCTCGCGCAATTCGCCGTAGATCGTGCGTGCCAGGTCGGCGTAGGGCCCGTCGATCTGGCCGTAATGCCGCAACGCCTTGACGGCCAAATAATTGATGTTGATCCAGATGGGACCGCGCCAATATGGCGGATCGTGTTCCGTATTCCGCTTCATATACATGGGCGAGTTCTTGGCCAGCGAACGCAGTCCATAGTTGGTCCAGAGCAGCTCCGGATCGCGCATATCTTTCAGCATCTTGCCCAGATAGGGCGAATCATGATCCAGTTGCTCCAGCAGCATGGGAAACAGACTCACATAGCCGAACATATTGTCGACGAACTTGTAGTCCGGCTGTTTGGAGACATAGCGACGCATCTCCTGCTGCATCGGTGGGGCACCACCACGTTGTCCCGCCGCTCGCTGTGGCGCCAACACCGGCGGACGTTTCAATGTCACCGAATCGGTGTGCAGGCCCCAGTCGGCATAGTGTTCACTGTACGGATCCAGATGCAGTCGATTGAGCCGTTCGTTGTCCGTCAGATACGACAGCGTCTCGTAGTACTTGACATCGTTCTTGCCCAGCAACGTGGACAGCTCGGCCATGACGCCGGCTGCGAGGGCTATCCAGCAGCGTAGATCCACGTGGCGCTCGCGCATGGTGGGGTGCGAGGCGCGCGGATAGTCGTCCAGGCCGGAGGACAAGCTCTTGGGATTCAGCTCGCGCACGGCGCTCGCATTGCGTCCCTGCCACAAATAGGTGCCCAGGATTTCACCTGCAAGGGGAGAGAAGTGAGTGAAATGGCCAATCCATAAAAGAAACAGAGAGTGAGTGAGGGAGAGGGACAGGGCAGAGATTTACCGCGCTGCGTGGTGTTGTACCAGTTGAACCAGGCCTGCAGCCTCGGATAGAGCCGCTCCAGGGTGGCGAACCGTCCCTTTTGGGACAACTGGGCCTTGTGCTGGGTGAGGAGCTTGTGCAGCGTGAGGAAGAACGTTGGCGGATTGGCATTGCTGTTGCGCTGCGTCACAAACTCTTCGGGCACCTTGGCCAGCGCCTCGACGCCCAGGATTTGCTCCCTGGGTATCCAGCCCTCCACATTGAGCAGATCGAACCAATGACAGATGATGTCCAACTCAATGTCAATGTCCCAGGCGCTGAGCAACAGGCCGTGGAAGCCCTCGTCCCAGAGGAAGCCGCGCGGAAAGAAGCTGCGCGACGGTACGGCCGTATACAGCGGCGCCTTCCAATACGGCACCGGATTCTGGGTGTGCACAGACTGCACCCGGCTGGCGCCATAGAAGTACCCAATGCCGCCGATCATATTGCTGAATGCGTTGCGTGCGAAGCGTATCATATCCGGCGCATAGCCCTTGGCGGCCAGCTGAAAGGTGGCCTCGAAGCGCTTGTCGAATTCGCCAATCTTCGCCTGCAGTGCGTCCGTGTAGGCGCGTCCCGTGGGCGGCTTCGGTATGGATTCGCCGAGGGCAAAGCCCGACGTCGACTGGTACGTAATGTCCAGCGTGAAGTCCACCTCGGCCGTAATCTGGATGGCAATCAGATTTGGTTCGGGATTCGTTGACGGCACGCCGTTCTGGGAGACAATCTCGCCGGGAAGGCCAATGAACCGATTGCCACGCTTGCTGGGAAAGGCGCGAAAGTGGGCGAATATGGTCTCCTTGAGCTTGCTCAGATTGGGCGCCACGGTGCTCAAATAGGACTTGTGCTGGATGCGCCCCTTGACCGCATGGAAGCGCACTTGAAACTCGCCCAGTCCCTGACTCTCGCCATAGACGCCCGGCTCCGGACTCTTCTCGTCGGAGACGTACTTGATGTGTCCATTGGTGCGCTCGTCCAGCGCCACATACCAGATGAGCGAGATGCTCCGGTCCCAGGCACGCGTCGTATTCCGCACCGAGATCCGGGCCGTCCAATCGCCGCCGTACTGCTTCTCGCCGGGAAACTTGACAAACGACGTCTTGATCTCAAAGGGCAGATCCTGTATCTCCTGCACCCCGAAGCTGCGCCCATCATGATGCGTCCAGCCATAGCCATCCAAATTGTCGCCCTGCTCGCACCAGTGCCTAATCCCACGGCCATCGGGTCCCAGATTGCTGGGAGTGTACCACATCAGGCCCATTACCAGGGAATGGGGATCGCGTGTCTTCATGCCGAAGTACGTATGCGGGCGATACGAGCCCCAGTATCGCTCCGGATCGTCCAGGCCGCTGGCCGAGACCATTTTGTGGTTGTCGAACGGCGTATTCACGCGCGTCTCCAGGTAGCCCAGGTAGCCAAAGTAGCTAGCCACGGCCAATGAGAGGCAGCCGACGAGTGTCTTCCACTTGTCCAGCATCAGTTTTGAGGACAAATTGAATTTGTAATTTCTGTTGCTGCTGCTGCTGCTGCGCTTGTGTTTGGCGCTCGCTGCGGCTGCCGCAGCCGCGGCCGCTGCTGCTGCGGATGATGTACCGGCGGCTGTTGCCTGATGATGGCCCGTAGCGCTTGACTTGGCTGTATTGTTGTTGTTGCCGCCTGCATTGCGCGCCATCCTTAAGTAGCGTTAACGTCAGTCGACCAAGGTGCAAAATTACAGTTGCTTTCGGTTCTCAAACACGTCTACAACAATAGTGGACAATCGGAATGAATGGCTGTTAGAAATGCGCTGTTCCGCTCAGGTTCCAAATTTGTTAGTTCACTTGATGATGTGCTGAATATGCAGACTCCAGTAAGCAAGTTAAATTAAATATGGGAGAAATACGTTCTTCAACTCAAACTAATTTGAAAGAAAATCACAGTAAATTACAGAGCCTGCTTAAAAACCTTATCTATTAAAGCAACTGTCAAGGCTTAGATGCCGAACTAGTTCATTTGACGATTTCAAAGTGCTGGCAAAGGCGAGCTAATTAAATTTATAGGAAATACTCATTAAAATCAAATTTATTTTTTAGTCAAACCAAAATAAAAATTTAAATACATTGTTCATAATTTCCAATATGTATACTTATGAACTAGAAGTCCCGAGAACATTATGAACCTTTTTAAATATGCCCCGACTATTGCAGTCGTTGTTAAGCACCTATCGATACATCGCATATTGCGGCATCGATACCTCAAACAACAACACAATATTGTTATTCTTCGTGCGTTTTTAGACAGAGTAAAAAATAATGGAAACAACTTCGGTGCAAAAGATCAAACGCTCGTTTAAGCGTCCATTTATATTTCCCAGAAACTGCGTTTATCGGCCGCTGCGACAGCTTCACAACATTGAACGGAATCAGAAGCTGCCGCCCGACCAGCCGACATGTAAATACGCAAAGTCTAAACGTTGATGGTCGAATTTGTTTTAATGTTTTCTGGTTCACTTCGCAGACTTCACGCTGAATGCACCGCCCTCGCTCATACCACCCAAGAAATACTCGGATATAAGTGGGCTGCCAGCGCCATATGTCGACCCCCACTCCAAACTGCGTTTCGCCAATGCCGAGGAGTACGGCTCAATGCAGCAATTGCCTTCGGACATCATAAACGGCTACCTGACATTGCGAGGCTTCACTAGCGCCGTCGGCTAGCAGCGGCAGTGATGCCAACTTTAGAGCTAAATGAAAAAAGCTAGTTTTACTTGATCGATAGGAGAGAAAAAAAAGCTAATTAATTGTAGTTTCTTAACTATGCAAATTAAATTAAGTATTGTCAATCATAGATTTATATGATGTTATTTTTTTTATGCCAATAAATTATTTAAGAGAAAATATAATGCACGTAAAGAAGGAATGTTGATTATTTGGAAATGTGAGAAAGTAAGCTCAATTAAATAAGACAGAGAGAGAGAGGGAGATGGCATAAGAGTTCAGTTGGGCCAGACAGACAGAAGGCATATGAGATCGTTTGAGTAAGACAGCGTGAGTGCATATAAGCGCAGCTGGCTAAGAAAGAGAGAGGTAGATGGCAAGTGAGCTCAGTTGGGTGAAACGAATAAAAGGAGATAGCATGAGCTCGTTTGAGTAGGACAGAGAGGTAGATAGCAGTTGAACGCGATAGCATATGAGTTCGTTTGAGTAAGACAGAGAAAGCATATGAGCTCAGAGCAAGATAGAGGGAGATATCGTCTGAGATCCGTGGAGTCAGACAGAGAGAGAGGCAGAGTACGATAATAAAGTGAGAAATAAAAGTATTATTGCTTTTATATCCTTCAATCTAAAAGTAAAATTTTTGGATATTTGCTCAGATCGAGATAATTTTAGCGATATTACATATAAATACGACATTTGCTCTTCTATTTTTTGTTTAATAATAATATGCGAAATTTATTTAAGGTAATTATGTATAAACATTTTACAAACTAAAGCTAACTGTTTCATTGTTTGTCCAAGCAAGTTTCTGAAACTTTGTTGGCTGACATATGTGAGTGTGTGTGCGTATGAGTCTGTGTGTCAGTGTATGTGTGTGTTTGTGTATGTGTATGTGTATGTGTGGTGTCATTTCGATATTTCGAGCACATTCGGAAGAGATCGGTTGGATTGCTCGACGACTACTGGGACTAGTGCAATCCGCCTTTCTGCAAGCGTTTTGTTCAGAAGCGCGTGTTCTTTTTTTTTTTTTTTAAGTTAAGCTAATTATGTAGTTCTCTCGCCCATTGCTCTCCGTGTGTCCAGGAAGCCTCGCAGCTGGCTGCAGCAACCCAAGTGTGCATACATACATATATATATATATATATTTATATGGATTTATATATATGTACATAATATTAACTATGTGCTCAGAGTGGTTTTGTGTTAGGGACGCACAACAGTCGTAACGGTAACAATAACAATAAATGCTAGCCGGCCTGGTTGATCGGACGCGTAATACTGTTCGGCTGTGTGAGCATGTTCAGGTCCGCACGGAAGCTGCGCGGCAGGCCCGAGATGTCCAATTGATGCTTCAGCACCACCATTGTGGCCAGCGTCTTCAGCGTGGGCTCAAAGTCTAGCACATGCAAATCACTGTAGTCAATCAATGTGGTTGCTGCTGCTGCTGCTGCTGCCGCTGCTGCCGCCGCTGCTGCCGCTGCTGCTGCTGCTGCTGCCGGCTGCGGTTGCTGCTGTTGCTCTTGTTGTGGCTGCTGCTGCTGCTGCTGCTGCTCTGTTGGCTGTGTCGAGTCATTGGCACGCGACACAGCCGTCGGGGCCTGCGGCATGGCGCAGCGCGGACTTGTGCCGCCAAAGAGGAACATGCGCGTGCCCACGACAATGGCGCACTGGCGTCGCCGGGCCGTCGGTGCCTGTCCGTTGGCGCGCACCAGATTCCACAATTTGGTGCGCGGATCAAAGGTGTACAGATCGTTAAAGTGCTGATCCAATAGTCCATTATAGCCGCCAAACACGAAGATCAGTTTATTGTGCACGAACATGCTGTGACTGCGTCGTCCCACGGGCACTTTGCCGGCGGTGAAGGGGCGGTGCCACACCTTTGTCTTCATGTCCAGATAGACAATCTCATGGCAGTAGGTCTCCTCCTGGCTGTGGTACGGGCTGTGCTTGTCGCCACGCCCACCAAAGATATACATGCGCTCCTCCTCGTAAGCAACGGCGGCATGAAAATCGCGATAGGTCGGCGGCACGCCGAACGTCTGCACATAGCGCCATTCCATTGTGTCCAGATTGAGCGCATGCACATCGCTGCTGAACTCATTGATCTCGTCCACAAATCCCCCGAATATATACATGCAATGGCCAATGACACAGGCCGAGTGGCCATCCCGGGCGCCCGGCAGACAACCGCTGACCGCCGGACGAGTCCAGCGCGCCGTCTTCGGATCGAAGCAATAGAGCACATTGCAGAGATGCTCATCGTTGCGGCCGCCCCAGATGTAGATGCGCTCCTTGTAGGCGACAACAGTGTGGCCATAGCGCTGGAACGGCACCAGCGGATACTTCAAGGGATCCCCATCCGAGTCGCATTGCTGCGGCACCAGAGTCCAGCGCAGCGAGTGCACGTTCAGCACGTGGACATCGATCGGCTCATTGAAGCGATAATCGTCGCCGGTGCAATAGCCCCCAAAGCTGTAGATGAAGTCCCCAACGCCAACGGCGGCATGATTCACCCGCTGCGGCCCGCCGTCCAGATGCACCGTCCACAGCATGCTACCACAATTCCGAGCTTACTGATAATGATAATAACAATGAATAACGGATTAGTAAAGCAACTGAAATTGGAAATTCAACAGTAAAATTGGCAAAAAAAAACAACTATTAATACAGATATGATGGACTCATACCAGGAAAACATATTGATATGCATACTATAAAGTCTTACCAGGAAATTTGAATTTCCACTTAAAAGATCTTGAAAAACCATATAAATATACATATATAGAATAGCGTCTTAAGTATATCAGAAAATGATTAATACAGATGTGGTAGAGTCGTACCAGGAAAACATATTGATACACATACCGTTAAAATCTTAGGCATACCAGAAAAACTTGTTTACATACCAAGAAACTAAACATTTATATATTTTACTTCATATTAAGGTAATATAAGCGTTTACATTCCATTGAACCTAAAAACACTTGTGTGGATACAACAAAAGTGAGTAAACTTAAAAAAAATATATATATACATATAGATCTATTTATTTAAAAAATAATACTTCAGTAAAATAAATTTTTAAGTTGTTTCCGGTTAATATACAAATATGTAGATCTATTTATTCCATAAGTAATACTTAAGTAAAATACATTTATTTTATTTAATAAGTAATACTTAATAAAATACATTTTCAAGTTCAATTGTTTTCTTTTTCTAGTCAGCAAAGAAATCAAATATTTTGAAGATATCTACAGGGATATCAGGGATAGAACTGTTGTACATATATTTATTGATATACATACATATGTATATCTACCTATTAAATGCACTCTGAAATCAATTTCGAGTTTGCAGATACGAGGTCAATTTACTGGGCAAATCAGAGAATTAAAATTACCTTCAACGCAAAAAAAAAAAAAAATAAATAAATTTATATAAATCTTACATTGAAAATATCTACTTGCTAATTGAAAGCCAATGAAGCGTAAGGCGTTATAAACTAATACTAATACACATTCAGCTAAGCTATTTGAAAATGCGAAGCTAAACCGATTATTGTTTTCGCAATCTAAATCCAGATTTGGCTGTTTTTAGCCTTCATGAGCTGGTTTTGGCTACATTCATATTGATTTTATATGACTTAACTGTCGATAATTTTGTTTAAACAAATAATAGGATTTGCAGAAATGCTAAATTTATAATTGTTTTTATTTTTATTATAATTTATTTTTAAAATTTAGCTGGTTTTTACAGCCCATAATCTGGCCGGCTATAAATCTAGCTATTTCTTTTTGTTTGGCCTCGACTTTTTTAGCCTTAAATCAGTTTGTTTTGGCTGCATTGAAGTGGTTTTTTTTCTAAGATGTGTTGAGATTTAATGGTTGATAACATAATAAAATTATTTGCTGAAATTGTAAAATTTATTAAATTTAGCTTGCTAAAACAGCCCACAATCGGGCCGGCTATAAATCTAGCTATTATTTTTTCTTAGCCTCGAGTTAACTTTTTTTTTGTTTCCTTAAATCAATTTGTTTTGGCTGCATTGACGATTTCAGGGTCCCGGAGCCTCAATTTAGCATGTAGATAAATGCGAATTGTATTTGTGGGTTATTCATGTACAACAATAATGCAAACTATGTGTGTATGTGCTTGTAGCAATTTACTGCAATCACCTCCATTTCAAATTGCATTTCAATAACAATTTGAAGTAGGAAAACACAAAAACAAAAAAAAAAAAAAAACAATTGATTTGTTGAAATTTCACAAACGATTTCTTGCACTTTGCCAATGTATTGCTGTCCTTTTCTGCAATTGGGCAATTACTTTCGATTGGCAATGCATATCAATATAACACCACAATGTACATAATTATTTATTATCTGGCCAAGGGACCTTGGGGCCTTGGGATTTGCACATTTATTAATGCTTACCTCACACACAATGTCTATTGCACTGGGCCAGCGCCGCCTGTCAACCGTTTTGAAACAATTTTTTGCCTTGCAAGCACACACACACGCGCACAGACACTAAACAAAATGGTAACAATTATGAACAATTCCGTTTTTATTATTTACACGACAGAGACTTGAGAGTTAGGCGCGTGCTACTATGTATAAACTGTGCGAGAATTGTGTGTGCTTTTCTTTTTGTGCAGCACCAGTAGCAACTTCTTTTTGGGTATTTCCGATACTGCTTATCGATAGTATCGATATTTTGTGGCATGTGTGGTGTGTGTCGGATGTGTAGTGTGGCCAGAGTGCTGGAAATAATTGAGGTCTGTTAAAAATTCCCCACACAATCACAAACACACCAGCGCCCCCACAGCAGAAAAGCACGCAAAATGAGCGAACGCAAACAAATATTGTATTCGGTTCAATAAATTCATAGAAATTTTAATAATGCAAAAGTGTTGCATTAGTATTATGCAAACGGTGTAAAGAACCACAATCAAGTGTCATTTACTCAGTGGGTCGTTGTTGCTCCGATTTGTTTGTGTGCGTGCGTGTGTGTATGTTTGTGCTTGACTGTTTGGTGTGTGTGCGTGTGTGTATGCGCGCG